TCTCCAGGAGTCCTGGCGATGCCTTTCGGCACGGTCCTGTGCACAGCCCTAAAACTCAAGCACCATTGCCATTCTCCGCACGCTCGACAAGCCCTATTCAGGGTCCTTGAACAGCCAGTGCGACAAACTGGTTTGCCTACTCCCAGTCAGCACTGAGCTACTCGGCAGCCCTCAGTTGCCGCAGAAGCCATCGCCGGAGCTGCCTCACCCTCCTGCTCGTGGACGTCACCAGCCAGCGCCGCATTGTCATCGCCAGCAGCAGCGCCACCAGGCACCTCCTCAACGGCCGCACACGAACCATCAGCCGCAGGGTTCACGCCGTGAGCAGGTCCACTAGTTGTCACCATCGAAGGCGAGCTGTCCTCACCAAATGTGCCCGACTCCCAGTCCCTCTGTCCATAGAAGTGCCCGAGCACGCCATAGCCGTATTGTTGTCCTACGGCCCTGTCGGTGAGTTTTCCGTTCCTCCACTCTTGGAACACCAGCTCGCCCTGCCGCGACTGGACGAACTTCGCGACCTCGAGCTCACGGCCACGGGAGACATCAGGCCCCGACCGCATGTCCGGTGCCGCCAACCCCGTAACTGGCAGGGTATCCAGCCGTGCAGCCCCTTCACCGTCATCTTGCACAGTTGGCGGCGCCCTGTCTTCTGAGGAGGCCGCTGCCGGGTCGCCCGCATCCTCCGCATCGCTGTCCTCGGCCGCGTGGATGTTGACGTTGTACGACAAGAACTCGCCTTCCCGCAGGCCAAACATCCAGTTCTCCCGCTTTATGATCCTGCCACCTTCTCCTTGAACAAGTACCTGCACTCTTGCTCGTTTGACACCCTGTGGCACTTGTCCCGAGCGCACCATCCAGGTCTCCCATGTGCGGAGTTCACTGGCCTGGAACTCATCCCAGAGCTGTTCATCTTCCTTTCGTAGCTGGTAGGAGGCCTCTTCCTCCCATAGCTCGTTCTCCTGGATCTGCCTCTCCTCCTCGTCATTGAGCGGCCGCGTAGCGCCGTTCTCTTGTACGTTTTGACTGTCCACTACCTCCACGACATTGCTAGAGCTGGGCCTCGGCGGTTCGGGGAGTTCTTCATCCACCTCCGGCTCCAAGTCCTCCAGATGCCTCAGCAGGTTTTGCCAGGAGTTGAGGCACCAGTTTCTCTCGTCTCCCCGCAGCTCCGCTTCATCCTCCGCAAACACTGAGAGTAAGGCCGTCAGCCTGTGTTGGCATTCGACGAGTCTGGGGCGGCGTAGGTGAGGTGAGGGCCGCTTGTAGTCCACCAGCATCTGCTCCAGGAACCTTGCCAACCTCGCTGCCTTGGCTTTGGGCATGTCTTCCAGCTCCTTCAACAGCTTGTTGAGATGCTGGCCAAAAGTGATGCTCAGGTCCCGCTGCATGAAGCGCGTGATGTCCCCGTCCCTCGGCCGGCCCTCCAGCTCGTCTGCCTCGTCCATGATGTCTTCTCTTCCTCCCTCAAAGATGACCACTTCCTCTGCGTCCACTTGGCCCTCTTCCATCGGGGCGACGTAGCCAGTGACCGAGGCAATGGCCCCCTCGACGACCAGCCTCGCCCTCTCTTCTTCCGTGACGGCCCCCATTTCATCACTTTCCCTGAGGCCTGTCCACGCTCGCGGGGCTCTAGTTTCCACTGGCGCCATGCCGTCGATTTCCCCACCTTCTTGGTCGACGCCCTCGTGGTCCTGGGAAACGTCCTGCTGCAGTTGCGTCTGGGCCGCCTCCTCAGCTGCAACTTTGTTCTTCAGCGCGGTGCCGTTCTCCAAGTTAAAGCTGTCATCCTCCATGACCTGTGCCACGCAGAAGAGCTCAAGGACGTTCTTCCCCCATCTTCTTCTGACCATGTCGTCATCCACCGTGCCGTCAACCCATTGGCGGAACCACGCCTTGCCGTGGTCTGATTGGAGGATGTTGTCCAGGGTCTCCTCTGGCAGATCCTGCTGCGGTGGCGGCGGCACGAGGACGGTCTCTGGAGTGGCCGCTTCTATGTGTTCATCCTCCCCCTTCGTGCGCTGCCTCCACCACCTGCTCTGTTGTGGCCAACTGGAGAGTCGCCTGTTCTCCCGCCATCAGCACGCCCACGATCGAGCCTTGGGCACCTCCCTACCGCCTCTGGCGCGGAGCGACACTTCCACCTTGACCCTCTTACGCAAACGATCCTCTGCTCCCTGTACCTCGGAGCTCATGGCCCAGTCATCCCAATCCCTCATGACGCCTGCCTGGTAGACATTGTAGGAGTGGAGGTCTGCCTCGTGCTGCCGGGACTCCTCCTCCTTCACATCCTGGTCATACTTTTTGAGCTCAGCCTTTTCCGCCGGCGTTGGTCTCGTCCATGTCTCTGCTCCAGGTCGCCTCACCCGGATCCCCTCGTCGTCGCTGTCCAGCGCCCCAGCCGCCGCCGCATTCAGGGCAACCTCATTGGACCCCCTGGCCTCATCACTAGCCGAGGATTTTTCTCCAGGAACGGGCGAATCCTGCCCCACGCCTGTCCCTGATCACGTCCTCTTCCTCAGCCTCTTCACACTGTGTCTCGTATGTCACCAACAGTGCTTGGGCCCTAGCTCTGCGGTCCTCGCTGCGCAGTCCCCCTCTTCTGTGGTCCGCATGCTGGTCGAGCTTCCTCAGCAGTAGGCTCGCCACTCCGGCCGCACGAGGTTTGCTCCACGCGTCCAGCGCAGCTTGGAGTTCCACCAGCTTAGCAGCAAAGTTGCCCGGCCCTGTTTGCACGGTGTGCTGCATGAGGTTCGTCTGACAATAGTCGAAAAGGTCAGTCTCCAGTTGCAGCAACGAGACTGGGTCGCCGTGCTCCGCCAGGTGGACTGCGCGCATCAACTCGCCTATAAATAGGCCGACGAAAGAGAGTAGCGCAGCCACATTGCCCGCCCTCTCCTCACTACTCTGGCACTGTAGGTTCGCGACAATACTCTGGCTCACGTTTGGAGAAAGCAGCTGTTGGCCCGGCTCATCGTCAAGTGCATCTGTTAATCCAATGAGATCGGACCACCATCTGATGCGGCCGTCTAACTCATCCAGGTTCGGCAGCTGCGGCACATTCCCCACCAACGGCGCAGCACCGCTGGACGTCGCCCCTGAGGATCCTCCCGGACCATCATCCACTGTGACCACAGGCGCCGGCGCCCTCCCCCGTCTGGACCACGGCGCTGGCCTATCTGTGAGTCGCACTGTGGACGTAGTGGATGTCGGGGCCGCAGACGGTCTTCCTTTTCCCTGGCCCCGGTCTGCGCGCAGCCATTTCTGGCGATTTGCCGCCCTCTGCCTCTCGTCATTCCTTTGTTGGTGGCGACGACGCCTCCTAGGTGAGGGTGACCTTCCCCTCTTCCTCCTCTGCATGAGGTCCAGCACGTCGTCCTCCCTCGCCATCTCGTCGCTGCAGCTCACTTGCCCCCACTCAGGGCCATGGATCAGGCCGCCATGCGGAGCGTCTTCACTGCATTCGACTTGCTGATTGTGGATGGGGCCACCGGTCTGGTCACCACACTGCAGTCCGAGCGGCATGCGCTTCTTCCGTTCATGCGGTCCTTGGGTCATCGGCTGGAGCTCCGTCTGTCCGCACTCCTAAGTTTTATCATCGAATTGGGTGCCAACATCACGTCGGCAGGGAAACGTCCATGCCGCAGGTCCGGGCGCAAGAACTCCTTGGGAGAGGCCCTTCCCCACGAGGACAAAGTACATGTAGCAAAGGCCAAACGCGCCCATGGCGGTGGCAGTCAAAAGAGTGGAGTAGCACTGTGCTTCCGCTATCACCACTAGACTTGGTTCATTCACGACCACACAGCATCACTTCCCTTCTTCAACATGTCTGCAGCGACAACTGCCGCCCTGAGCACCATGCAACTTCCACGTTGTTACACCACGTTGCTTTAAACGATTTCCAAGTTGGTCTGCATGCAGCGAGATCCCTCCACGCTGCTGTGTGTGTAGCTTGCTCAATTTTGCGCTCGATGTTCATTAAATGTGGGAAGTGTCTTCCATGTCGGCGCCCTCCCTGCAAATTTTGCTGGTCCCGCCACCACTGAAGTCCCCTAAAGTGAGTCAGTAGGCCTGCCGCAGATGGAACAGGTTTGAGGGCGTCCCTGGCCCTGTGCCCCAGAAAGTCCCAGAACGCAGCCACCTGCCTGTCACCCCATCTTTTGCCATCCACCCTGTGAACCATTGCTCTGGCTACCCTGAGGGACCTAGCCTCATAGTCAACCCACAGCTCGTACCTCCCCCTCGCAATCCCCAGTGTTGTGGGTTTAGGGTTTGGGGTTTAGGGCTTAGGGGTTTTGGGTTTAGGGTTTAGGGCTCACGGGTTTTGGATTTAGGGGTAAGGGTTTGGGGCTTTCGGGTTTGGGGTTAAGGGTTTAGGGGTTGGATTTAGGGTTTAGGGATCTTAGATTTTGGGTTCAGGGGTTTTGGATTTTGGGTTTAGGGGCTTTGGATTTAGGGTTTAGGGTTTGGGGGTTTCGGATTTGGAGATTAGAGTTTACGGGTTTAGTGGTTTTGGCTTTAGGGTTTACGGGTTTTGGATTTAGGGGCTTTGGATTTAGCGTTTGGAGTTAGGGTTTAGGGTTGAGGGGGTTTTCGGTTTAGGGTTTAGGGGTTTTGGATTTAGGGTTTGGGGATTTGGAGATTCGGGTTTAGGGTGGTTTTCGGATTTAGGGTTTGGGGGATTTGGGGGCTTAGGGTTTAGGGTGTAGGGGCTTTGGATTTAAGATTTAGGGTTCAAGGGTTTTGGATTTAGGGTTTAGGGGTTTTGGAATTTAGGGTTTAGGGGTTTAAGGGTTTAAGGGTTTGGGGCTTTGGGTTTAGGGGTTTGGGATTTAGGGTTTGGGGTTTAGGGGTTTTAGGGTTCTGGGTTTTGGATTTAGGGTTTACGGATCTTGGATTTAGGATTTAGGGTTTGGCGGTTTGGGATTTAGGTTTTACAGTTTAGGGGTTTGGGATTTAGGGTTTGTGGCGGGCTTTGGATTTAGGGTTTAGGGGTGTTGGGTTTAGGGTTTAAGGGTTGTGGATTTAGTGTTTAGGGGTCCGGGATTTAGGGTTCAAGGCAGTTTGGGAATTTAGGCTTTGGGGGAGTTCTGGGTTTAGGGTTTGGAGTTTTGGGTTTAGGGTCTAGGGGTTTTGGGATTATGGTTTTGGGGCGTTGGGATTTAGGATTTAGGGTTTAGGGTTTAGGGTTTGGGGGTTTTGGGTTTTGGGTTTTGGGGTTTTGGGTTTAGAGGTTTTCGGCTTAAGGTTTAGGGTTTAGCGGTTTGGATTCAGGGTTTGAGGCTAGGGGGTCTTGGATTTGGGGTTTAGGGGTTTAAGGGTTTGGAGTTTAAGGGTTTTGGATTTAGGGTTTAGGTGTTTTGGATTTTGGGTTTAGGGGGTTGCGGGTTTTGGATTTCGGGGTTTGGGGTTTAGAGATTTTGGATTTAGGGTTTAGGGGTTTGCGGGTTTGGGATTTTGGGGTGTTTTAGGATTTAGGGTTTAAGGTTTAGGGTTTAGGGCTTCTGGATTTACGGTTTGGGGTTCAGGGGCTTTGGATTTAGGGTTTAGGGTTTAGGGGTTTTGGATTTAGGGCTTAAGGGTTTGGGATTTGAGGTTTTTTTTTAATCGGACCTTTTCTCTCGGGATGTAAGGTTTAGGCTTACGGGTTTTGGATGTAGGGTTAACGGGTTTTGGATTTAGAGTCTAGGGTTCAGGGCTTTGGGATTTTGGGTTTAAGGTTTGGTGGTTTTGGAATTAGGGTTTATGGGGTGTTTGGGTTTGCGGTTTAAGGTTTACGTGTTTTGGATTTAAGGTTTAGGGGTTTCGTTTCTGCATTTAGGGTATAGGGGTTGTGGGGTTAGGGTTCAGGGGTTTTTTAGGATTTAGGGTTTAAGGTTTAGGGTTTAAGGCTTCTGGATTTACGGTTTGGTGTTCAGGGGTTTTGGATTTAGGGTTTAGGGTTTAGGGGTTTTGGAATTAGGGTTAAGGGGTTTGCGGGTTTTGGATTTAGGGTTTAGGAATTTGGGTTTTGGATTTGGGGTTTGGGGGTTTACGGGCTTTGGGGTTTTGGATCTGGGGTTTAAGGTTTAGGGTTTAGGGCTGCTGGATTTACGGTTTGGGGTTCAGGGGTTTTGGATTTAGGGTTTAGGGTTAAGGGGTTTTGGATTTAGGGCTTAGGGCTTACGGGCTTTGGGATTAGGATTACCGGTTTTGGATTTAGGGTCTATAAGGTTTAGGGTTTCGGTTCTGCATTTAGGCTTTTGGGGATTTGGGTTTAGGGGTTTTGGACCTAGGGTTTAGGGTTTAGGGGTTTAGGATTTAGGGTTTAGGGTTTGGGGTTTTGGATTTGGGGTTTAGGGGTTTAAGGGTTTGGGGTTTAAGGGTTTTGGATTTAGGGTTCAGGGGTTTGCGGGTTTTGGATGTAGGGGTTTGGGATTTAGGGATTTTGGATTTAGGGTTTCGGGGTTTGGGATGTAGGGTTCAGGGATTTTTAGGATTTAGGGTTTAAGGTTGAGGGTTTAGGGCTTCTGGATTTACGGTTTGGGGTTCAGGGGCTTTGGATTTAGGGTTTAGGGTTTAGGGGTTTTGGATTTAGGGCTTAAGGGTTTGGGATTTAGGGTTTAGGCTTACGGGTTTTGGATTTAGGGTCTAGGGTTCAGGGGCTTGGGATTTTGGGTTTAGGGTTTGGGGGTTTTGGATTTAGGGTTTCGGTGGGGTTTGGGTTTGGGGTTTAGGGTTTACGTGTTTTGGATTTAAGGTTTAGGGTTTCGGTTCTGCATTTAGGGTTTAGAGGTTTTGGGTTTAGGGGTTTTGGACCTAGGGTTTAGGGTTTAGTGGGGTTTGGGATTTAGGGTTTAGGGTTTAGGGCTTCTGGATTTACGGTTTGGGGTTCAGGGGGTTTGGATTTAGGGTTTAGGGTTTAGGGGTTTTGGATTTAGGGTTTAGGGGTTTGCGGGTTTTGGATTTTGGGGTTTTGGGTTTAGGGATTTTGGATTTAGGGTTTAGGGGTTTGGGATTTAGGGTTCAGGTGTTTTAGGATTTAGGGTTTAAGGTTTAGGGTTTAGGGCTTCTGGATTTACGGTTTTGTTTTTTAAGCGCTCCTGTTGAACCTCCTGCACGAGTCGGCCAAAGGCTGTGTCAGCCGAGCGTTACTTAGCTTCCGCACATCCATGCAGCATCCACTTTTCTCACACGGCATCGGCTTGCCCGTCCGTTCCCTTTCTGGCCGCTTCTTGAAGGACAAGTTCACTAGCAATGAGGGCCTCATACACCTGGGTGCCACAGATCTCCTTGACCTGTGTGCCTGACATGCCGCCTAGAAGCCATTGCTGCCACAGCTCCACCCCCACATCACTGTGGAAAAAATCCGTCAAGTCTGCAGGAATGGCCGACTGAGCCGCAAGACCCAACTCATTGGCGTTCGAGTCTTCGGTTTAGGGTTCAGTGGTTTGGATTGAAGTTTAGGGTTCAGGGGTTTGGGATTGAGGGTTTACGGGCTTTGGATTTACTGTTTAGGGTTTGGGGGTTTTGGTTGTAGGGTTTGGGGGTTTGGGGATTTAAGGTTTAGGGTTTGAGGGTTTTGGATTTCGGGTTTAAGGGTTTTGGATTTAAGGTGAGGTTTGGGGTTTACGGCTTTTTTCAGGGTTTGGGATGTTTCGATTTAGGGTTAAGGGTTTTGGATTTAAGGTTTTGGTGTTGGGAGTTTTGGGCTTTGGGTTTAGGGCTTTTGGATTTAGGATTTAGGGTTTAGGGTTTAGGGTCCTAAACCCTAAACAGCCAAAACCCTTCGACGTTTCAACCCTAAAACGCCTGGTAATGTTGTCAAAAGCATCCACTATCTTCCTTCTTTTCCAGCAGCATACGGTTACCAGAGCATCCATGCCCAAACCATCGGTGCATCCATGCCCAAACCATGATAACGTTCGTGTTCGAGCGCACTCGATGATAAGAGCATCCATTCCCAAGCCGTAATAACGTTCGTGTTAAAGTGCACTCGATGATGAGAGCATTCTTGCCCACGCGATACTTCCACGTGTTCGAATGCACTCGATGATAAGAGCATCCAAATAACAATACCCATGATACTAACAGTGAGAGTGCTAATGATGATAATAACCAGAATACAAGGCTGGGGAAGGGGGGGGTTTGACGAAGGGGGCAGGGGTTACCCAAACTTTGTGGAACCATCGCCGAAGTAGATATCTTATGTGCTGCCCCTCTCTGAGTTCCCCCGAACAGCAGCCCTCGCTCCCCCGGCACTGCCATTGCTTGCCCTGGCAGCCTAGCTTCAAGCCTGACCGGTAAACCCTGAGACCCTGTGTTGGCTGTCGAAACACGATATGGACATGCAACACGGACCCCAACACATGCTCGCAGATGCCTCCCGGCTACTGAATCAAAGTCAGGTCAAAAGCTGAGATGGCTGAAGGAACCACTTGGCCGCAGACCAGCGGGCAGAAAAATACGTGTCAAAGCGACCCCAACACACGTTTGCTAAGCGACCTGATTTTTGTTGGCTAAGCGACACCTTGCCCATTGTGACATTGTGGCGGATACATCACAGTGCAGGCTTGAGAAGATCTGTTTGTGGTTGTGCTTCTTGGGCTGTACACCAATTGTGGGCTAGAAGTGCTCGATCCTCCTTCCAGAATCCGCATGATCTGCAAGGAACAGAGCGGGACATGAGTATTACCAGCGACTAAACCTTCCATGATGTCACTTTCTCGCACTAGGTTGCCGGGGCCCTCAGAAGACTGACCAGCCCACACCCGGATCCAAACTTGGACGAGAAGTTGAAGATCAGGAGAATAACACCAAAAGCACCTTGCCAGTAATGTCGAAGCCTCGCCCCACTCATGGTTTGTTTGCATAGATAGAAAACAAAACAAAATCAAATCACTAGGAACGGCCAAGCCTCACCCGGTTCATGGTGTGTTTTCATGAAGCAAAAACAACGCACCAATTCCAGATCATGACGTGGCAAGAAATACTGAAATGCAGGCCTTCAAGCACCTAAGCACCTGAAGGCGTGAAGGGAGCTTCAGGCTTAAAGGGCTTGATGGAGGTTCAAGGCATTTGAGAGCCCGTACAACAGCCTCCACTGAAACTTGTGTCAAAGCCCAGCCCCGATCAAACTCGTCACAAAGCATGCAGAGAAGCTTGAAAAACACACGCACCACGGACACAAAATCAAATGAAACTCGTGCACGGGGACATGCCCACGACTCAAGCCTAAGCCGCTGTTTGGGAAAAGGCTCTTGGCAAAGCTTTTCGTGCCAGGCCTCACTGGCATTGCCTCAGATGCGCAACTCCAAAACTCTTAATTTGCTCTGTAATGCGGATGCAGGCTTGATTGCAGCTGGGGCACAACGTGCGCCGTCCTTGGCTTGCACATCTAGTTTCGGGGCTCTCCGCGACATCCTTCATGCTGCATAGCATATTGCTAATCAATCTTGATGGTTTGCCACAACTTTACGACAGTGACATATACATGCAGGACACTGCTTGCGACAACAGCGCTGACACAGTCTGCTCACAAAGCAGATCCCATTGCTGCTTGGCTTCTGCCTGGTGTGGCCATCTCAAAGGTGTTGCTGCAACCTTTCCACAATCAGGTCAAAAGCGCGTGCATCGAGTGTTGAACCAGAAAGCGTCCGCACGTTCTAAGTACTGTTGGTCTGTAAAGGAAGTGCCTTGCCCTGTGCCTCCATACAGCAATCTGATATGAAGTCTAGGACTCAACCCTGAACTCGAACCCCTAGCCCCAAACCCTAACTCCCAGTTTGGAAGCCTGCACAAGTACTGCGCGGGCTGCAAGGCCTAGCAAGGATGATTCAAGAAGCGTTGGAAACATTGTAAGCGCATGATTTTAACTGACCGGCTAGCAGTCGACCACATAAGACCTGTGAACAGACGACATTCGATGCGAAATGTTCGTGGCCTTGATAGAAAGTATGAGGTGCAGATCAATGACGTTTCGTCTCCGTGCCACTGCAGCGCATTGCCGTGCCACACCCATCAACTGCGCCTGAAGCAGCATTCCAGCACAAGCATGTGAGCAACCACGCCGCAGAGCAGACAAGCCACCATGTCTGGCCATGACGGGAGCCGCACGCTGCAACTCCCCAGGAACAAACACTGCTTGCCAAAGCAGGTGCATGCACTGCTGAATATAGTGTGCTGCAAGGTACTTGGGCACTCAAATGTATACTCGAACCGAGAAACTGCCTCAACACACAAGCTCTGAGCAAGAGTCCGCCAAGAAGCATTTATATGAAAAATCTGAGTGCAGCACACCAAGATCAAAGCCATCTTTGATGAGCCCGAAATTGTGAATCTCAGAGCGGGACATGTAGGCTCCGTGCTTCATCCACGAGTGAGCCATGCATGTCCGCAGCATGGAGCGGGGCCTCATAACCGATTTGGTTGGTGACCTCCGACACCTTGTCATGCAAGAACGTGCTCCAGTGCTGCTTTAGATTACGTACACGTACCCAGGCCTTGGACACAAACGGAGCTGCATCAACAGCTCCTCCACATGCCTTGCGGGCTTCAATTCTTCAGCAATCCCGGTCATCCCAGGTGCCCGCAGTCGCAACAAGGCCTGACTGACATATGTCAAGCTTGCTCGCCAAGGCGGATAGGCAGGGTTTGGCCTGCAGCAGCCATAAGAGCGACAAAGTAGGATGGTCGGGATGAGTTTCGGGTCGGGACATTCCAAGAAGCATGAACTCTTCCGTCACGTTGTTTCTTTTGTAACCTTGAACCTGGCAATGCAAAGCACTGACAAGCGAATCGTTGGGCGTGCAAGTGCCAAATCGCCTTGCCGGTGCACTCGCACCCTGTGATGCTGGGATCGAACTTGCACTCCCTGGTTGTTCGGGCAGTGGAAAATTAGGACAATCATTGAATGTGTGCTCCGGATTCTGAGTTATAGACTGGCGCTTCAGGCTGCTGACTGGACACCTGGCATAATCACGAGCAAAAACTGCGGTGTCATGAAATGTAAGACTGCGATAAAGCACGGCAGTCCGGCCAGAACTTGTTGGTCGTGCTTTCAGCACCGAACACAGCAATGCTAGGTTCTAGTTCCTGACCATCCATTCGCTGAAGTCATTTGTTTCAACAATGCCTGCCAAGAACGCTTTCATGTGCCAGCCTGCCATTGAATTCCGTCCGGAGAATAGCAAAGCCTGAAAAGCCCGCCGTTGGGAAACGTCAGCGGCCCGAAGACATTCCGGATAGTCTGCACAAGGCACGAGGATAAGAGCACCCGACGCATTTCAGAGCTTTGCAGGCCTCTGGTGTGGTGCCAGGCACTACTGCATTTTCAGCCCCATCTCAGCTGCATGACGGGCACAAACGAAGGATGCTCCAGACAAATTTGCTGATGCCATGCAGCCCCTTGCAACACGCAAAACACAAGCACTGCTCACGGCAATTTCTGGGCTGCTGCTAAGGGACTGAAGGGAAAGCCCATATAGGCTTGAACAGTCTCACATGTCTGCAGCCTCGGCTGCCCGCGCAACGTGGAAGCTGCTGCGATTCGAAAGCTGCATTGAAGACTCATTCTCCGTCCAGCCATCCACTCAAGAACTAGCTTACTCAGCCAATCTGAGGGCTTTTGTGCAGGATGCAGATTCTGCAGTGCTAAGAGCATGACGTTGATCTCATGTCATACGGTACCTGCTGCAACGGCCACCACAACTTCCACCAACAGGCAGGCTTTTGGCCATCTTTGCATCCAGGCCACAAGTTTTGCTCGGATGTCCTGTTTGGACACTCCCAACCCAGACCTTGGCAAGTCATCTCACACTTGCATCACAATTTGCTTGGAGAAGAAAGCTCATGCAAAGTCACGCTGAGCATCGTGCAATGCATGAATTACAAAGCGGTTATACTCCACGCCAGCTCTAACATTCACCTGTCATGAGCAAACTTATCCATCTGTCACGCGCAGAGAACCACACAGCACTGGTGATTGTTAAGAAGAAGACCCAGCGCGCACTTCAAGTGAAGAGCATGTGCGTTAGATTCATCATCAGATTCTCAGACAAGTTGTTGCATTCTTGCTCTACAATCGCCAGCATTTACTAGGCAGGCGTCCAACAGGGACAACTTCCGGCCCACTTTGCCGTGCTCTCGCATCAATCTTTTGCAACAAGCCCCTCAATGCTTGAGGTCCACTAGCATCAGGCCTGAGCCTTGGCTACACCCGGGTTTCTCAAAGTCTCAGCCGTGACCGCTGCCAGACTCCTTGGTGGATTCCTTGGGGCATGGAGTTCTTTCTCAAGTCTGGGTTTGGATTCTCAGTTGTGTCTTGCAGCTGCTTGTATGCTGTTTGGGCTACCTAGGATCAAGCAAGAGCCCGCCGCGTGGAGGGTTCAGCATGAATACTGCAGGGACTCCAGATTTCAGACTACCACCCGTCCAGGCTCGGTCACGGTATGTGTCTTTATGGCACATTGACCCCCTCTGTAATTTTCTCCCATGTCCTCCGATGCCTTTCTCATATGCCACAGCTTGGACAGTGCCGCATTCGAGTTTCAATATTCAAGCTTTCAGTGCAAGCTTCCAGGTCAACAGCCAAGGAGTAGCCCTTTCACTTGCCAGGACTGACAAATTTTGCACCAGATGTCATTCAGATTGATGCAGGCCTAAGGTGGCTTTGGCATTCAGGCCGCCAGGCGCAACAGGTCAATGAGTAGTTGCAGCCATTTTTCTTGGCGCTCTGTAGTGGTGCGTACTCTTTGGGAGTTGCCAGGCAATCTTGCAACTGATGCTCCATGCCACTATCTTCCGGACGATTCAGACATGCGCTAGCAAATTAATGTTCACATGCCCCCTGCAGAAGAATGACTAATGTCAACAGCTGTGCGACAGTTGGGGGCACACCCACTCCCCGAGCGCACAACATTTCTGGCCAACGATAAAAGGAAAGCCAACTCCGTAAGCCAGGAATGCCAGAGTCTGAGCGCTCTCCTGCTGAAGTACGGGACTGGTCTCCGATAAATTGCTCACTGACATGAAGCAGATGCACATCTGATTTTGCACTCAACTCGAAGCCCATCGCCTTCCTCCGAGCTCGCAAACTATGCGAGTTAAAGTATTACACCGTCACACAATCATAAGCTCGGCTCCAATCTTCATAATGCGACATGTGTAATCTAGTTAACATTTTGATAATCTCGTGTCGACTTGATAACACGTCCACTGTCCACATACATATCGCAGAACATTCCCAATGTGACATTATTCTTAACCAGCAACGATGTCGCATTAAGCTGCTTCAGAATCATATGACTGCGCAGCATATCCGACAAACTAAACTGCCTGCACACATAGCAAGCATATACCATCCTGGCTAGCGTCAAAACAAACTGCCTGGGTTCTGCAGCTGTCAAGGTGCACAAAACACATAGTGTCCCACATGCTCCACATGTCACGTCGGCGACAAAATGCAAGCCCTACATCCATCTTATATCCTTACACAGGATCAGAAACTTACAAGATCAACGGCTGTTGTTTCATCAACAGCTCCGCCCAAGTCCTTCCCTTATGCCATCCACCTCTACAGTCAACACAACACATCACCAGCCTGTCACGTGGCTGATGCACCAATATTTCCTACCAACAGCAGCAGCCGCAACAACAACAACAACAGCAACAGCAGCAGCAGCAGCAGCAGCAGCAACATCAACAAAGGAAAAAAACACACTTGATCTGGTTAAATGG